TATTAATTACCATTTTGTAGGAGTTAGTAATTACGGATTAAGTTAATAATTCGTAATATTGTTGTTTGTGTAAGAGCATGGTCCAGTTGATCTACGATCTCCGACCCCGAGGGCATCGCCTCCGTCCTAAAGGACATCGCCTCCGCTGCAGAGGGCATCACCTCTGCTGCAGAGGGCATCACCTCTGCCCCCGCAGGCATCACCTTCGCCGCAGAGGGCATCACCTCCGCCCTAGAGGACATCACCTCCGACGACCCTGTCCAAGGACCTCCCCCGTGGATCTCCCGCACATAGTCAGAGTTTTGATAATCTGTATGCCCGTCTGAGTAGATTTATAGTGGAGCAGGTTAATGGGTTGGGTCAAGAGATGACAGATAGGGTCGACGATCTGGTGGGAAGGGTCCAAGATTTGTCCGCTAATTTTAGAGTGCTCCAGGATGAGATCGAAGCACTTCGAGATGATATAGCCGGCAAGCTATGGGTTGACGGAGATGGTGATAAAGATGGGGGTGATAGAGATGAGGGTCACCGGCAGTTGTGGTCCGATAATGCATTGGAATCTTTTCTATTATCCGTGGAGCGGGAGGGTATGGGAGGGATGGTAGAGGAGGTGGCGGTCCCCAGGGCTGAGGAGGTGGCTAGCCCCGAGGTGGAAGAGGTGGCGGTAGTCGGGGTGGAGGAGGTGGCGAGCCCCGAGGTGGAGAAGGTAGCGAGCCCCGAAGCGAAGGAGGAGAGGACGACCGTGGTAACTGAGGCAAACAAGTGTTTTGTTGACGTGCCGAAGATGGTGGTCAGCAAGAGGTCGAGAGTGCCGTCACAGTACGTCGTCTCTTCCTTCACCACTGAGACGAAGAGGAGGAGATTTGTTGACGGGACGTACCCCAATATGTTCCGAGAGGTCGACCATGCCAAATGGAAAACATTCGAGGCTCAATGGCAAGCAATGTTGCCCGGGTATTAGTAGACTACCAGTACTCGTATAAGTTTCTTTTAACATTTTTTTTTAAGACCACCCATATGATAACTGGAAGAACAATATCGGATGCATACAATTGGTTCCACGATATCACCACTCAGGGGCTTAGCTCGTCGACAATGTAAGTGAAGTGTTATTGTTACTGTTTGTACACATTACGTTTAATTTGTTAAATAAAATAATTATTTATTTCTTTTTCGTTTATGTAGCACATCGACATGGCCATGGACTTGTTACACGATCGAGTTGAAAGAGATCCACAATCATTCTACAAGCCCGACAGAATAATACTAAACACCGAGTACTTCTGTGCCATTACCATTGAGTATCAGTTGCTCCAGCTTTTGGATAACGAGTTCGTGATGCCCGCATATATGCTCAAGTGGGTCATCGGGTTGTCGCCGACTATTAGGGGAAAGCCGTAGGAGGGCTGTACGCATATGTACATTCCAATGATCATCAATCATCACTGTATTGTACTGGAGATCATGTTCCCTCAGTCGACGTTATATGTATATGACCCCAATCATTCATGTCTGACACAGGGACAGCTCGAGCAAAACTTAGAGCCGGTGACTGTGATCGTTCCTATGA